TCTTCCACTCGCTGTCCTTATTTTGAAGTATTGATGTCGAATGGTGGTCTTGTCGAATGTCACTTTGATGCTTAACGCTTTGACGCTTAATGCACTTCCTCTCACGAAGTAACCGACGTAGAGATCGCACTACGATTGTGTGGCTTCGAGTACAATTGTCGACTAACATTCACTAGCTACTATGATGGCGTCAAACGGTCAAAATGTACGGTTCAGTGGTAACTGCTACAACTGTGGTCAACAGGGTCACATCTCAAGGTTGACGAAAACCTCAAGGTTGACGAAAACCTCAAGGGAATTGTGGATAGGCATGAAATGGAGGTTAATCTCTTGAAAGAGATGCGACTGATCGAACTCAACGGGAGGCGTGTTGTTGAACAGGAGTTGGAACGTGCCCGAGAGAAGCAGAAAGAAGATGAACGTGAACTGGAAAGATTAATAGCGGAGATGAGCAAACTGGAGATGGAGAAGAAGTTTCGGTGTGGCGACACTAACTTAAAGACCAAGCTGGACGAAGTGGCGGGCTGCTCCGCTAGGAAAACGGACAAAGGTAAGAAACTTGCGGGTTCGGTTTTGAGTAAGCGAGATCGGATACTGAGGGACGAGCGGAAGAACCTGAGGAACTTGACCAAAAAGGAGGTAATGGTGATCTGCGAGAAGGAGGGGATAGAATACTCCAAAATGGAAACAACCAAAGAAGAAATTGCTAATATGCGTACCGAGAGGCTGATGGAACAAGAGCAGGATGAAAATGATGAAGCACGAGCGGTTACGATTCATGAGGTGGATGGAGACGGAGGGGAGGACTCCGGTAAGATTGAGGCCAGTGAATCTGCTGCTTCTTAGTATCTTACCCGGACGCGACCCTTCTTTGGAACATTGTCAATTTGTGTCGTAACGTTAGACTTCGTGGTAGGGAGTTCTTAAAGTTCAAGTCGATTAATGCGCTCCTATGTATTTCGGTATGTTTGTTAATTGCTGACTGACATGTCTCTAGGGGAGAGAAGCTTAAGGGACATGTGTCGAGTGCTGTGCATGGAGGGTTTGATGTCGGTAATGGAAATGGTCCTGTCGTTTATGCTCTACTTTCGCCTTGGTGTCGGCATATGTATGTTGGTAGTACTAAGAGAGACATCTATACAAGGTGGCAAGAGCATGTCTATAGAGCATGTCATGATAAAGTAATTGAGAGCAGTAGACGGAATGAGCGGCTTTACCGTTGGCTACGGAGATTTGGCACGCATAATTATGTTATTATACCTCTCTTGCTTTTTGTTCCGAGGATGACGTTCTGGAAGTTGAGAAGTTTTACATTCGGTTACTTACTCCGGTGCTTAATACCAGAGGAAGATCAAGGAAGTAAAAGAGACAAAGACCGGGTCTTCGAGAACGGTTGAGGGCAAAGAAAGCTCGGGGTGGGATTTCGAACAGACAGTTAACACCCTTGCGCACAGCTGGTAAGTTCGTTAGTTTTCATTCTAGTGTTGGCTTGATGTCTGTCAGTTTACTCAAGATATTGGAGTACTGCAGGGTGAAGTATATTCATCATCTTGAAATTGTGTGCAAAGGGGGCGATCTGTTAGTTGACCAATGGAAGGTGGTGCGTAGACTCTACGGAGGTTGTATGATTAGCAGTGACCACGAACGTTTTGAGTTGCAGCATGCCAGGGGATGGCTGAAAGGTGGAATGGTCTTGTCGATAAAATCTGTCGTGCCGTTTTTGAGCAAATCACTTGCTTTGAAAGGACCTTTGTCCGAATTGTTAAGTCAACCATCTATACGGAAGGAACTACAGAACTGAGATTTTGACCGCCTTATTTATGCTTTTACGGCAGTACGGACATTTTCGGACAAACGCTCCCATTTTCGCCTCAGGATTTTGTTGTCAAGAACAATCTCCAATAGGTTCGGGATTAAGGTACGGAGTCGGTTAATTGTCAAGTTGTTGTTTGATGAAAGTTTATGTAAAGCACGTGTTCGTAAGGTCAATGCTGCTGTTATTTCGGGTTTGGAAATTCTGCCGCATAGAAAGATATGCTGATTCAAAGGATGCGGATAGTTTGGAAACGTAACAAGTCCATTGGTGATGTTATTCATAATTTCCGTAGATTTTCGAGGTTGAAGGAATTTCCATATCCTTGTAGTGGTTGTGATCCCGCTCTTCCCGGGTGGATAATCGTGTGTCCTTCCGTTTAAATGATTCTACTTTATTCCCAAATTGGATGAGGAACTCTAGGAATCTTCTTCGACCATCTCGATCCGGATCATTGACCGCACTTAGGAAACAGATCACCGTTGGTCTCTCTTCTCACCCATCTCTAGCTTTTCCAAACCATCTCGGATTGTCCAATGACTTATTGCGTAGTTGCTTTGTCAAACAAGGTTCTGCTGCAACGACGACTGTTAATGAAGACCAGTTGAGACCTTATCTGGATCTCCTGGATGGTTTGGTCTGCTGCCCGATGGATCATAATATGGGCGACACCTTCGTTTGCTGTCCGGTGGTGTATGAGACTGGTATGAGGAATTTGTTTTTTGGAAATCCTGCTTTCCAATTGTGTAATAGTACGATGGACGAGATCTTGGAGCTCTGTAGGGAATCGTATGATAATGCTAAGCTTCATGACCTCGGCAAATGGAAGAAGAACGGAGAATAGGGGAAGACCTACAGTATACCTAAACATAAGGACCCTAGCCGATGGCGACCCATCTGCCCATCGTACCCTGAATGTTCAGCCGCTGGAGGAAAGATTGTTGCTCGAGCAGTGAATACGTTACTTTGGAATTTGCCCAATAGTGAGCATTTGAACTTGAGGAGTGCGCAAGATTTGGTGGAGCGCATTAATAAGATCAATCGAGGACTAAAGAAGGAAGAGTATTTGGTAGGAGCGTGTTTCGATATCAAAGAGATGTTTTCAAACTTACCTCATAAGTCTATTCTCAGAGCATTGTCATGGGCAATTGACTATTGGTGTTGTCAGGTGTTGCAGCGGTGGTTGTGAAGAAACACGGCAAAGGTGCCAAATTGTTAAGAAGTAAACTTGAGGATGGGTGGAAACGGGTGACGTTTGACGTTCTAATAAGTTTTGTCAAATTCGAATTAAGTCACACTTTCGTACTGGCCGCGGGTAGATTATTACAGCAGACAATTGGAATTCCAATGGGGAAATCGTCGAGCCCCGCTCTCGTGTGTCTTCTCTGTTCCTTCAATGAGTTCAATTTTCTCAGCAGCTTAGGTACTCACCGGAAGTTTTTAAAGGGTTTTCGCTTAGTTGATGACGTCTCAGTTTTGGTTATCAGGAGTAAGAAGGATGCTGACAACGGGAAAGCGGATAGATTGATCGGTGATTTTAGCGGCTGTTATGATGATAATCTGACTTTGGAGAGGACGGATGACGGTAATCATTGGGACTATCTTGGCTGTGTTCTTCATGTCTGCCAATCCAGCAATGGGGTGCAATGTGTACCAATAACAAAAAAACAGAAGGAGGGACTTTGTGGAAACCTGGTGTTTCAAAACATCCAGGATTATCGGTCTTACTCCAGTCGACAACAAAAAATGGCCGTCATTATTTCCCTTCTGCATCGAGCCAAGACGTATTCGGCTAGGTATGGTCTAGAGCTACCCTTCCTGTTGTCCTTAAAAAACGAACTTTGGAAGAGAGGCTACCCCGATAATTAATTTGATAACGCCCTGGTGTCTTTTTCCAACAAATTTGGTGGGGCGTGGGACGAGTGGATTCGGATGCTGACCGGTTGGAAACAGTGGTCGCCAAGGATTACATGAATGTGGTCTACTTGCCGTCTTAGGGACTGTTGTAGTAATAGGTAAATAGATGACGAGGTGTGAAGGCTGCTATAAAAAGGGATGTGGGTCTGTTGTTGGTAGGATGATTGGTACTGAGGGGGTATGTGGCACGACAGCTAAGAAGTTGTGACATGCGATATGGGTCGGACTTTGGTCCCGGCCAGTATTATGGTATGAGTAATTTGTGTTGGTTTGTCGATTATCACTGGGGGGTAGGCAGCACGGTAACAAAGGAAAGGTGATGCGGGTTGGACTGCGTTCCCGACCTGTTTTTTTTTTTTTTTTTTTTTTTTTTTTTTTTTTTTTTTTTTTTTTTTTTTAAGTACTAAGGTGAAGTAAAAAAGGAAGTATCGAGAAGCGGCTATCGGTTTACTAACCGAGTTCCCTTCAATGAATGTAAGGCTGTTGAATATGGATCTTTTTTGGACCAATGTGGCTCTCGTCATTTTTTAGGGAGTCTGTGTTCTAGACACGGTACTAGCGGGTTCGACTGGCCATGTATTTGGCATATTTTCGGTAGTTGGTTCATTGCATTTCTCCAGTGTTGTTTTTCGGCAATAGCGTTTTGGTGTTGGTTTTGAGTGCGGCAGCAGAAATTTTTTGCGATTCGGTGTTTTTTAGACTCCTTTTAGGATAGGCTTCTAGATGGACACAACTATATAAGCAATCATTAGTCTAAACACCGATCAAAGACCCCTGATGATCCTGGTAAGGCGACCAGGTGAAACCGGTAGGGTCGATCGCCTGACGGAACTATGTTTCGTCTTTTGCTGCTTCCATGTTTTTATCCTAAGTAGTCGCGTTCGGGTTTATTCTTACGGCTT